ACGCCCCAAAACTAGGCGAGGCTGTTTTTATATATGCTGGATTTTATCATACTTAAAAATTACGGAAAACAAATCGGTAGCTTTTTCACAAGTCGAAACAAACGTGAATATTTTAAAATTCACAAATTACGCACTATAAACATCTTGTTCTTCATTTGCCTATAACTTTTACTGGGAATTTCCGATCTTTTCCGATTATTCAGCAAAGGTTTAGGTGGTATCAAGCTTTCTAACAATTCTTGGTTTGCATCTGACGTCCCTCAAAATTCTAAAATCTAAACTGTTAATTCTACAAAGCTATTCTTTTCACATATTCTAGACATGGAAATCATTAATCTCTATGCAAAAGTTTGGTATTGATTCAATGCTTCGTTTCGGAAAGAAAGCATTTTGAAAATTTGCGATGTCCCGGATTAACGAGTTTTTGAACTTTCACAAAAACGGGTATTTTCATGTCATTTTTAAATTTTTAATACGTGATTAATAATTTAGAAGTGGATATGTAAAGAGTTTTGATGTGAAAGCTAATGATATTGATGGTAGAAATCTACTCTACTTCTTGTACATTTTTATGGCCGCCATGTTGGTGTCCAAAGAAGGGCACCAACATGGCGGCCTGCATACTAAATACTGTAATTTTTCTGAAAATTATTTTCGTAATAACTCGGTTATGAAAAACGCTACATAGCTATAATTTAGACAGAAACGTTTCTTTCTGCTGCTCTATAACTTGTTAATTTTCTGACAATTGTTAATGCAAGCGAACAGTTTTGGTTAACATTGATGCAAAACCACCAATAGGTGCGATCTTAGCATTATTGAAGCGTTCTTGCAACAGATGAAGCAAATACACGAGCATATTATTTTGAAGCTAAAATTCAGCAGTGAAACTGTGCAGCAATTTCTATGCAGTCGATTTTGTGGAAACTTGCTCACAGTAAACATTGAAGCCTTGGAACTTATTGAACGTAATTAGAAAAAAATCTATCTTCGTTTTATGAAAATATTCCGCGATTTCGTAAAAAAACAAGGTTTTCTAATAGCGCTTGTATCTCTAAATGTTAAATTTCGTTTGCCCTAAAATAAAAGCCTTCTAAAAATATAAAGATTCCTATATTTTGAATACCAAAAATTAGAGAAATCGGTTGACGCTTTTCCTGCCGAAAAGTAGTTTTTAAAAAGGGAACCTACGCTCCAATAAATAACCGCGGGCCACCTGCAAAGGAGACTCCCCAACAGTGGGCCCGACCTTGTCTCTGAAAAAGTAAATCTAAAAGAGTCAAAGCAAAAATTTCAAGTCAGCACTTTTTCAATCTGGGCCACCTCCTGTTATTTTCTCCGGGCTCCACAATGTAATGTTCAGTCTGGATCCGCCATACTCAGTACATCTAAAATGATTAAGTCACGTGACACTGAGGCCAATCCAATTCCTCTAGCAGTATATACATATTTTGAAAGCCGGGGAGTTTCTGAATAAACCCGAAACGTGAGGTTTTGCCTTGTTTGATGTCCTCTCGAACACAATTCAAATTCTTCCTTAGAACCGGTTTGTCCGATAAAGAGAGATTCAAGCTTCGGCAAGTTGATGACGTGCGGCACGATAGATGTTTACTGCGTGACCCAGTGGATTGGCTGACAGGATCAGAGTCTTCAGATTAGGAATGAATTGAAAGCTCTCCAGCACATCACGCAAGTTACGTTCATCCATATTTAACTCGCGAAGAACTAACGAGCTCAACTTGGGAAAGTATCGAAGGCTTTTGGTGAGTGGAACAAGGCAACCTCTTGCGCTGAAACCACTGAAAGTAAGCCACCACAAAGGCAATGTTTTGTTAAATCCACCAAACAGCGCCTCCATTTCCTCAGCTTGCACAATGCCTTCCTTTCGCCCCAGTTAACGAGTTCTTCTAAGGACGATATTTCAGGAAGTGACCGACCAAGCGCCGCGGCTACTGCTGGAGTCAGGCTTATTCCAATCAGCCCAGTCTCCTTGAGAGTCTTGTGTGTGAAAACTAGTAGCTGTGTTTACTTCCGCTGTGCAGCAATGTGCGTGACTCAGTTGTTCGCCCTCTACCCTCAGTTCCTTCAGATTAGGAATGAATGTTAAGCTCTCCAGCAAGTGAACACAAGTTACGTTCATCCATATTGACCTCCTTCAAACACAAATTTTCTCAAATTCGGAAAGGAAGCGGAAAGCTTTTTTGGTGAGTGGATTAAGGCAACCGCTTACGTTGAAACCACTGAAAGTAAAATCTTCTAAAGGCAATGTTTTTGTTAAATCCACCAAACAGCGCCTCCATTTCCTCAGCTTGCACAATGCTTCCATCGCCCCAGTCAACTCGAGTGTTTCTAAGGACAACATTCAGGAAGTGACCGACCAGCGCCGCGGCTGTTGCTGGAGTCAGCCTTATTTCCACTCAGCACCAGTCTTCTGAGAGTCTTGTGGGTGATACTAGCCAACCAGTGTGTCAAACTGTTTTCAAGCACAGCAACCACTCAAGTCAAGGCAAAGTTCGATGATGTTGTTAAATCGTGGTAACAAACTGGCAAGCTTCACTGTTTCCAAACTGATGTCAGGAATCTTCTTTTGGATGATAAGAGAAAGAAATTCAACGCCAATGTCCAAAGAGCACTTACTGGGGTTTACTACTTGTTCCAAAAGATCACACATGGAGTCATCGCACCTTTCGACTTAATCAATTTCAAATGTTTAGAATTTCTGATCACTCCACCAAGAACTTTCCCTGCTTGGTCGGGTAGACGAAATCGCAGAGATGTTAAGAATTTCAGACATGTCTGTTCTGGACACAAATGTACGGAGAGAGATGGGAACAGAAAATGTCAGTAGTTTCTTCAAATAGTCTGACATGGTCATCACACTGCAAGTCCCACTCTGTTATGTAAAACTGAAAACTGTCCATTGCGGGAAACAAAGGGATGGAATTGAACATGCAGTCGTTTGCATCCGATATCCTGGAACTTTCTTAAAAAGTCTTCAACTGTGAGAGCTTCAGAACTGTTAGTTATTCTCAGTGGGACATGCAGACAATCCAGCAACTCTACCAACTCATACAGCAGCAGCATATGCGTTGAAGCCGATAAAATAGATTGATTAGAATGAAGTGAAATTGACAGAATGCGTAACTTGAGTTAAATCTTTCACCTTCGCCTTTTGTAGCAGTTCAGTAAGTTGTTTTGGTACAAGGACGGTTCCACCAGTGCAATTAAAACAATGACTTAAGAGTTCAGCTTTGGAGTGAACTTCTTGGAAGGAATTATAAACCAAGGTACTGAACCTCCAGTGCTTATAAGTGACGTAACACAGTGGTACGTCCTGTCTCGTTTTTCTACATCAGGTATTATCTTTGATAAATCCAGTGTTGGGTCAGAGATTCTAACTGATGTCAAATGTTCAAGAACCTTCACTGCCTCCATCGTCAGACAAAACCACAAATGAACTGAAACACATTCTCCCCAGGCCTTCGCAATCTTTCCAAGGTGGGGGCGTGGCTTCTTCAATTCCACCGAGATTTCCTTCAGGGACACATCTGTAGGTGATGTACCACGCCGCTAAGAACTCCTTGTATGCTCTTGTGAATAAAGGATACCATCCCTGCTGGTTGCAGATTTTTCAGCGTACTCGGAAACTTGAAGTAGGCCAATAATGAGACTTTCTTCACAAAGGATGGCAGCGGACAGTTGATCATACTCAAACACATGATCGTCCTTCAGAAGACATTCTAAAGCCACCTTCCCGATTTCAGCGAGGATCTCTTTGAAATCTTCTACTTTGCCAAAGCGAGCAGGAGAATGCTTCCCTTGACTGTAATATAAGACATGCTGGACGATCGCCAATACAATTTCGTTTTGGTTTCAGGAAAGCAGTTTAACTTTCCCTTTTTCCACAGAGTGCAAAAGAAGAGAAGAAGTAAGGGTACTCTCGCTAGGTCTTCCAGGCCTTCCCAAGAAAGAAGACTCATCAGTTCTTTTGCTTCTGTCTTGCCACCAAGCATTCTCCTCATAAAGGCCTCTCTGTCCTCTTCACTAAACCCGGTGATCTCAGCATGCACGTCTTTAAATTCTCGTAGCTCGTCAGCTTTGGAAATCCGAGTCGTTATCAAGACACAACAGTTTCTCAGTTTCTTTCCTCTGAATATCTCGTAGATTTCAGAGTTGCTTCCGCAGCGATACTCATCGTAGGCCGTCAAACACCAGCAGAACTTTCTCTTGGTTTTTGGTGATATAACTCAGCAGGCCTTCCGTTAGGACAGTTTCCTCCTGGGGAAAATATCACATCGACTTATAACATCTCTGAGGCTTTGGCATTTCGATACTTCTTTGAGATTAATAACAAGAACAAGCTCGAACTTCTTCAAGGCATTTTTCTGGTTCTCTTCGAACTTGTCGCTTGATGTGTCTTCCTTTGCTGTGTCTTCAGAATCTTGACTTGTTTCTTCATTATCTTCACCCATGTCTGCATCATTTTTGGACCTCTCCAGTACATCTCCCTGTTTGTCTTCCGTCTTCTCGTCATCAGTTCAGCCCAGTCCACAGCCAGTTTCTTAACAAAGGTGCTCTTCCCTATCCCCGTCTGCCCTTTGCACGAGTATCCTATTTGGAATATCACCGTTCTTGTTTGCAGTGAAAACATCAGTGTAGTGAGTCAGCTCAGACTGTGATGACCCTGCTGGGGTTTGTTCCTCTTTCACCAAGGACAGACGAGTGTAGATCTGATGAATATCCACGGGAGATTTTTTGGACCAAACAGAGGTGGGCACCTTAGCAGTTCTTTTGTAATGTTCTGCAAGTTTACTTCGACAGGTTTTCACATCGAAAGTTTCCATTGGAGAAGCCTCTGATCAGAGAAAAAAAGATAAGAAATTAGAGCATCATTTATGATTTGACAAGTTAATTGGAAAAAGACTCGAGTTGAGGACTTCGCAATAATTATTAATTTAAATACACAAACAGGGAAGTGTTTAAGCTCAGGCCAAACAAGATCCTGGTTAGCTCAGTTGATCAGGCGCCAGACTGCTGTGCGGGAGGTCGCGGGTTCGAATCCCGGCCAGACCACAAACCAGGGTCTTAATTTTAACTGGTAAGAACATGCTGGTTGTGTCAGTTAATATAATTTAAATTAACAATGTAGCAAATTTAAGGACTACATTCACCCGCACAACGATCACACTAGACAAACTATAAATTAAAACGCAGCAAATTTAAGAGCCCAACACCCTACAAAAGTCTCTCAGAACTTTAAAAACGTTTACTTCAAACATTTTAATTAAAATATTAGCGTCAATTCATTAATGGACAAATTAATTTATAGAAGCAAACTGTATACAATTCTGAGACAGTTTTGTAGCCAACTACACTTGATTTTTATATTGCTGTACATTTTTAAGATTTTAGTCAAATTGAGACAAAGATGAAGTCATACAGCCACAGTGAAAATCAAAAACATAAGTTTGATTGCACAGCAAATAAATTCATTGTACAGTCCAAGCTTCCATAAGTGGACATACTCCGGAAGCAGACAATGTCTCCACAACTGTAGCTGGCTGCTTAATTATGAGAATGATTCTTATACACAGCCAATAGCAGTATAAGCGATAGGTGGCCGCTTACAGGAGCTTGTACCGCTCACACTAAACAGTATTAATGCAAAAAAATAATACCATCGTATGAAATGAATGTTTATTTTATTGTTCCTTTGGGGTGTCCACTTAGGAAGCTTAGAAACAACAGAAAAAATCCAAATCCAAATTGTACCCCTCGAAAGTGTCCATGCAGCAGCATACAGAATGTGTAAATACTGAGTTTATATGAGAGTTTCAACTGGGTTTTGTCAAGGCAGCCATAAGTAGAGCTGTCAGCTTAATGAGAGTGTCCGTTCAGAGAGCTTCAACTGTATTCTAGGGTTTAATTATTCTGAATATGAAAAACATTCGAAAACAAGGATTTTATGGACTGTTCCATTCATACTTACAGCCCTCAAATTCACTGAAAAACTAATTTTTTGACTTAATGCTGGGTGATGTTTCAACTTTCAAATGAATAGCTAAGATGTTAATAAAAGTAAAAATTTGTTACTAATAAAAGAGATGGATTTATGGAAATTCAAAACTAACCAGCTCTTTCATCTTTCATTCCTAGATCTCTGACGTTTTTCCTCCAGTTGTTTAAATCTCTCATCTGTCTGGGAAATCACTCCACCAAGACTCTCTTCCACTCCACTGAGACTCTCTTCCACTCCAGCGAGACTCTCTTCCACTGCTTGAACTCGGTTCAATAATTCTTCACACAGGGTTTTCTCAACAGCCACAAGTTTTTCCAATATTCCTTTAGTCTCTTTCATCTGCTGTTCTTTCCATTCCATCAAAGCTTCCAGCTGCTCGTCATGCTGATCTACAGTGTTGTGAATTTCAATTTGCTCTGTTCTCTGCTGATCCAGTGAGCCTTGAATGGCTGAGTGGTCTGCTTCTGTTCTCTTGTATTTTGTGATAAGTTCGTTCACGAGAGGAAGAAGAGTTTGATCCACAGCATGCCCCATACACAGCTTGCAAACTAAAATCAAACAAAATATCAATGGCTTGTTAAAAACAAAGGTCATGTTTGTGAAGAGATTAATAATAATTATTGCCACCTGGCTGATCAACGAAAAGGTTGTCATGGTTGGGGTAGGGTGTGGAAGGGGATAGGGTGCATTAAAGGATGAGGTGTGATGGCTGATGGGATGTGGAAGAAGTGACAGTGAATGAGTCAGGTGTGGTAGGGGATGGGGTGTGGTACAGTATGGGGGTGTGGTAAAGGTGATGGAGAGTAGTGTGTTGTAGGGGTGGTAGGAAAGGGGTGTGGTAGGCTGGGGTGACAGGGAATGAGTTGTGGTAGGGGATGGGATGTGGTGGGGGATGGGTTGTGGTAGGGGTGAGGGTGAATGGTGTGTGGTAGGGGTGGTAGGGGAAAGGGGTGTGGTAGGCTGGGGTGACAGGAAATGAGTTGTGGTATGGGATGTGGTGGGGGATGGGCTGTGGTGGGGGATGGGTGTGGTGGGGGATGGGCTGTGGTAGGGATGGGGTGTGGTAGGGATGAGGGCGAACGGTGTGTGGTAGGGGTGGTAAAGAAAAGGGGTGTGGAAGGCTAGGGTGACAGGGAATGAGTTTGTGGTGGGGGATGGGATGTGGTGGGGGATGGGGTGTGGTGGGGGATTGGGGGATGGGGTGTGGTAGGGGTGAGGGCGAATGGTGTGTGGAAGGGGTGGTAGGGGAAAGGGGTGTGGTAGGCTGGGGTGACAGGGAATGAGTTGTGGTAGGGGATGGGGTGTGGTGGGGGATGGGGTGTGGTAGGGGTGAGGGCGAATGGTGTGTGGTAGGGGTGGTAGGGAAAGGGGTGTGGTAGGCTGGGGTGACAGGGAATTAGTTTTGTCGTAGGGGATGGGATGTGGTGGGGGATGGGGTGTGGTAGGGTGAGGGCGAATGGTGTGTGGTGTGTGGTAGGGGTGGTAAGGAAAGGGGTGTGGTAGGCAGGGGTAACAGGGAATGAGTTGTGGTAAGGGCTGGTAGGGGTGACGGCGATTGCATGGTGTGTGGTAGGAGATGGTAGGGGAAAGGGGTGTGGTAGGTAGGGGTACCAGGAATGAGTTGTGGTAGGGGATGGGGTGTGGTAGGCAGGGGTGACAGGGAATGAGTTGTGGTAGGGGATGGGGTGTGGTAGGGGTGACAGCGAATGGTGTATGGTAGGGGATAGGATGTGAATAAATCATTTTCATGGGATGTTGCATGTACTTGTTGTTATTTATAAAATTAATCTAAAATAATAGTAAAATAAATAAATAAATAAATAAATAAATACCATGGAATGTAAGATAAGAAACCATTTGAAAACAATGGTCACACGATCCTGTGGCCTGACCAGAACCTTACGCATTTGCACAGCCAAATTATCTGTAGAGTGGCAGCCATGGACAGCTGTTTTGGGGGTGATATGGACAGTAAAGTATGAGGTGTGGTATGGCAGGGGTGGATGGGATGGGAATAGGATGAGGTAGGGGATGGGGTGTGGTATGGTAGGGGTGGATGGGAACAGGATGAGGTAGGGGATGGGGTAGGTGACATGAAGTGAAAAGGCAAGCCTGCAAATTAGCGCCGGTCATCGGACATTTGTCCGGTAAATTTGAGGTTTTGACTGGCGAACGCTCAGTCTGGCCGGACACGCTGACCGGGCTCTTCTGTTACGATGTGAAATATGAAAAAAAATATTTTTCACTCAAGAATGCCAAACGTACTCTCGCCGGCTATATTGGTGACTAAAAATTCTGCTTTAGTAGCCACTTTGCGACTACATTTCTCTACGATTTAGATTATAAATTCAAAGATTAAAGTTCAAAAACAATTTATCTTGTCTTGTTTGGCTTTCAGTGCCAGTCATATTGCTCCATCTTTTTGTTTTAAATTTGCTGTAAAGATATCATCTCTCGACTTCAGAAAACTTGAAAATGGCTGCCGTGTTTAAGTCGCCCTATAATGCATTGCGAGCCCTGCGTTTATTGCGTATGTCATGTATGCCAATATATTTTGTCTCTGGAAATGTGGCGATCGTGTTTTACAAAGCTTAAGTGGCTGGAGAGTCCTCAACATGTTTTAATTTAGAGTTTGTGGTAAGATTGTTCGTTCAACCTAGCCTGGCGACTAAAAATTTGCGTTTGGGGACTATTTTTTAACAATTTTTTTTTTTTTTTTTTGCTCAGAATCGTCCAAAACGCATCTAAAAGACTTATACAGTAGTTTTATTATACTGAAACAGATTATTTTTAAATTAAGTGTGGGAAAAAAAAATTTATCCGACCAGACTGGCTGCATGTCAGGTCAAACCTTGTCCATGGCCTGACATATGACAGGTTTATAGAAAAAAAATTATTTGCAGGCTTGGAAAGGGGTTGCTACAGCTAGGGGATGGGTTCTGGAAGGGGATTGGATGTGATAGAAGCACTAAGGGTTTAGGTGTGGAGTGTAGGGGTGGATGGGAATTGGGGATGTGGTTTTATAGTTATGGTTGGTAGGGGACGAGATGTAAGAGGGGTCTGTAGGGGATGGCGTGTAATAGGGGCAGTAAGGGTTTAGGTGTGGAGTGTAGACCCTGTTCTTCTGACAACATTTACGCTACCAGATTCACTAGTACAGATTCCCTATTTACATCAGTGCCATTCAACAATATTTCGCACATCTCTATATGGAGTAAGAGCCTGAAATAGTCAATTTTGCGGTAATGAAAACGAATGTAGATCTTTCAGTACTCTTGTTCTGCATTTTTATAAGTTTTATCTCTGATTTGAAATAATTCAGCATGACTATATATTCTCAGTGAAAATCAATCGGTGTTGGCAGGCTAGGCAAATCATAGTTTTATACCGAGTTCTTCCATCCAGTATATATTATTCTATGATCACACTTATTTTTAGAAATATTTGAATTGTTCTTGTTCCTGCTTGCTGATCAACAGAAATTTAATGATTGCAAACAAAACTTCCACTTTTCTCATCTCAGAATTTTGAACTGACAACAGTGTGGCGATTAACTCCACATCATTACTCATCTTATGGCTCTTATTTCGCAAGTCCTGATTTTTCCAGACCTACGAAGCATATATTCTAACTGTAAGTATATGTGGGAACTCCAGGGTTTTTTTCCTTTTTTGGACTCCAAGGATGCCTCAGGACTTGGATCATGTCGGGTTTAACCCAGGGACCAAAACCCATGGAGCAATAAATTCCAAATACCTTTTGTTTTCCAGTCACAAAGTTGATCTAAGATGATCTTCTCCATAGCACCAGTCAGTCCCAGACTTCTCACCAAGTTCTCTAGTTTGGAGAAACAATCATTGAAGAGGACGTCCGTCCACTCAGTGACATTGCAATGGCCCCACTTGTTCCTGACATTTTCCCTGACATCATCAGCTGAAGTCTGAATAGACATCAATGGATTTGGGGAGGGGAAAATAGGCGCAGGATTATTAAATCCCAACAACCGAAGGATGGCACTCATGTCCAGCGACTCGTTAAATGCTGAAAACTTGGCAAGGTAATCTG